TATTATAACTATTACTATTGATATTAGTCTGTTTGCAATTCTCGTTATATTCCCTAATGACTAATTGTTTATCTAAGTGAGGTAATTGAAGCGTAATGCAATTTATCTTAATTTCGATCTCTCATACTCTCTCCCCCCTTATCTATTTGCAAAGATGCCCAAGAGAAGAAGAAGTTGATTTCAGTGTACATTGCACTGAATAAAGAAGTGAAGTGCCAGGGAAGACAAAATACAGTTATGCGACACACCAGCAAGTGAAGCAAAAAAGGCAAGCCTCAGGCAAAAATATCATCAAAACATCGTACCAGGTGACCAGGTATATTTCCAAGAAAGGTTAAACCCAGGAAAGATCTATCCTAGATAGACAAAGGAACCTAATTATCAAGGAGTAGAAAAAAATCGAACAGTTTGCTGATGAATTCAAAGGATTACTGAACCGAACATCACCTGCAACTCACCCAGAAATACCACCAACATCACGTCTAGAACTGCTTGACAGTGGACAACAAGAAAGGCAGAAGTTCTGCATGCGATCAGGCTACTGAATTCTAGTCGGGAAGGAAGCAGACCCAGATGGAATTCCTCTTAAATCACTGCAAAAGCGAACCTAGAGACTGTGGCAGATATGTGAGGGTGACTTGGAGGAGGTCATGTGAGGAGGAAATCAGATATTACGATAAATCTTCGAACCAGCACAAGAGGGCAGCAGAAAATAGAACATACTGGAGATTTGTAGTTGATGCCCTGTGTTCCCCTCGGAACCCAAGGGAATAATAATAATAAACTTCAGTCAACTATATAGGGACAAAGATCACTGAAGACTGAAAATAAATCACATAAAGAAATGCAACTCAGAAAATTATACTTACTTAGTGGAAAAGTTGTCCATTCATAGGATTAGCTAAATAACAATTTTGGTGTTTGAAACTACTTAAAAGTAGAATACTTCATTAGACGTAAATTCAGAGAGTGAAATGTGACAACGACAATAAGGCGATTACACAATCTTAATGTAGATTTCATCAAGATCTGATATCAGTTATAGAATCACCAAAGACCAAGCAATAGTGAATAGCTTTCTCTGCCTAGTTAAATAGTATACACCTATCAGACCACTAGAGACTGGAACCAAGACCTTTATGTCTCATCAAAACGAATAACCAAATGTCTCTAACTAGGACGAAACAGCTGTCCAGTACTCCCAGGTTTTCCAATGGTTCTCTAAATAATGTTACCGCATGGTGAAAACCAATAATTTTTCATACCCTTATATTCGAATTTGTTCTAGTTTTCGTTTCACTACGTATGATTCAGTTAGTCTATGCAAAGAAAACAAATGTGAAACATTATTGATGAATAACTACTTACCAGAATTTATTTAAAAATGTACGAAGACCTTCCAGGAAAATAAGAGTAGCAAGATAAGTGGTGAAAATATCACAAATAATTAATAAATTAAAGCTTCGGCAGTACTGACATATGAAGAAAAACAACGAAAGACCTACTGAGGATTATTAACAAGGCGGGGATTAAGGAGACGTTGAAACCAACCAGCCAACTAGATACATACTTTGCTGTCCTAAAGACACGATATATTCAATTAACAAAATTAATATAATTTACTAAATGCCATAGGTCGAACAAATACATAAGGGTCAATTAGATTAACTGAACATACATATTTGGTTAGATCTACAATGATCGACTGTGCTTAGTTACACAATTAGAAAGAAAATTCGACTATCTGCAAACACTCATTTTTATGTAATTACAAATTAGGGTGGGATAGAGTTGAAGTATTAATAAGTAATGTAATTGGTCGGAGAGAGAAGTCGATCACTGGATCTTTGTTAACGGAATCATTGTCGAATACATGAAACCGAAATGATGCAGCCCCTATACCTGATATAAAGAAAAGTTTGACAAAAATGGGAGGTTATATATTTATACTGTCTGATGAAATCCTAATGTCTGAAATGATTTGGATTCATGGGTGAAAACTGTCTCATCTGTTATTTAGAATTGATTATCGTTAACAGTTATTTTTAAAAGATACGCTTGCATTTCCTGCATCAATTACTCGAAGAATTTGCTGTTTAATCTTGAATTATCTATTCAGCATTACTTGAAAGCCCTTCGAACTTCAAAAATAGGATCCGTTCATAGATAAGGTAATTCTGCATGGATATGACCTCCAGGTAATTTCATTATCCAGTTTCCATTGATTCCGCTTAGAAGTGCCATTAACATTACGCTTCCATACACACTGCACTATGTAGTGTCATTTCCTATTTGAAATAATCTCTGAATTTTTAAAATGACGTCTTCAGTTATCCATGTCAGAGATTCTTTCCTTATCTACATAGCTCAGACTAATAGTGAATGACTTCACAGACTCATTCATGCCAATCTATTTACATGTAGTCTCCTTCTATAGTGTGGTCCAAGGCTCATACTCACTCAAATCCGAACATGTTTACTTAAGAAGTACAGAATCCAACGATAAGAGCATTAATATGAGATGAAACCCATCAGCTGCATCTTTTAACCCTTGGAACAAGTTGCATTTCAGCATAGCGCTTGTCAGTTTGCTGTGAAGGTAAACAAAATGTTGATTAAAACCTGAAAACACTCCCGCAAACATGAGCAAACAACCTTTAAAAACAGTTTATTTAGCTTACAGTCCCAACTTCTAGTGATTGTCACTTATTCATTCAACTACTAGGAGTTCCTGAAAAGCATCCAAGTACTCAATCACCATGCGAATACTGGTTTACATCGTTTTCTTAAACTTAAATAGATAAGTTCTCGATAGGTGACTGACTAGACTGCTCGTGAAGGAATATCAAATTCACTGTCCCCTATCCCCTATCATCAGGGAATTAGTCAGTTACCAGTCGCCTGATATACATTAGCTATAATTCTTATCAGGATTAACAAAGCGCGTGAAAAACCAATTCTTGAAGAGCGGAAAATTTTTTCAGGGTATGGGCGCATTGATCACATGTTCACCCTCTATTGGTTCCTAGGACATCATTACATGTTCTCCTAGTCAGTGATCGATTTATTTGTTAACACTCAGTCTTCATTCAATTCACCAGATTCGAATTTCTTTTGTAGATGTCATTTTAGATATTTTCAATGACCTATGGAAAAAGAAATTAATAGTATGTGATCGACTGTGATAACTATTCCCAGTCAGCTTCGGTGGTACACAACGTAGCCCAGTTTCTGTGTGTAAAAAATTTGAAAAACTATCGGTACTGTCTGATTGAAATGACCTGTTGTACACCACTCACAAAAACCATTAGTTCTGGTAGCAATTTAGAACAATTAATTTAACCACTCGACGGCCTTTTGGTTCCTCGGTGGTATACGCTTTCTGGCTCAGCTGAGACAGCCGAATCAGTTCATACCATCCGATGATGATTTCACGAATTTTTCCTATTAGCTAGCCGTGTGGTTTGAACTGATTCGGCTCTGTGAAGGAAGATTAAGTGTGTACAAAGCCTGGCTCAACGGCCATCCGTTGTTTAGATAAATTTTATGTGTAGTCATTACTAGATGATGTCAGTGGTATTCACATATCAACCACTTAGTAACTCTTTCTTATCTAGAGATAGTATATTGTGATCTGAATAATTTCAGTTTCGAAATGATACTGTGGTAAAATTTCACATCGTATTGTGTAAATTGAGAATTTGAACTATCAGCACAGTTTTGAAAGATGATTAAAATCATCCTCATCATATGCATGAACATCTGTTACAATTATCATCCGAGTATTTTCTATCTGATTCAGAGTTTAATACAGTTGGAGAGTGGTCACAAAACTCTAGGAGATAGTCAGTTCTTCATCTTCCCCATGGAATAAATGATAACTGTGTTTAGCAAACACCTGTGTGTGTGTGTCAATAGAAGTGGCACATTTTCGATTAAATCCTACTTCTGTTTAAAAGCACCCGTCAATAAAGCCTGTTTGTGGAAGCTCTGGCTGGCAATTAGAAAGTTTAAACCACCTTTATGCATCCAAAAACAATTCGTCATCACACTAAACCCTGGTAAACTTTGTTTTGGTACCCGGGTAGATGCACTGTTATCTCTCTCATTTAGCTTGGTAATCTTCAACGTTATTTTGAGCTTCCATATGTCCTTTTAACTTGACTTAGATTCATTTCATCACTTACTAACTCTTCATTAATTGCATATATATTCCCATGATAAGTCCGTATGTGATCAAACTGTTCGAAATGTGTTGCGCAAATACATTACACGATTTAGACAGACAAATTACGTCTTCTTATTGCTTTATCTAAATTCATAAAGGAAACTAATTGTTTTAAGTGTTCTACACTTTAGAAATGTTAAATTGTTATTTATTTCACTTATAAATTATTGTGCGGCTTTTTTTGTTAACTGAGCTGCGTGAGTTAATTGCGAGGCCTTTATTGTTCTTCTTCACGATAGGATCAGTGCGCTGACATCACTGTGTTTACCTGTATTTTCATTTTCAACCACATCCATCATGCTCTACTTATACTGATTAATTTGTGTGACGCATCTCATCGTGCTCATATTTTGGGTTCTCTGTATTTTAAATAACAAGTTAAGTCACACACAATACGTTGAATTATATAATGTTGTAACCAACTGAGTCTATAAAATTCTATGATTTGCTTCATTATCTCATTGAACATTTTAACAACACTATCTACTCTGTCCCATTTATATACTAGCAATACTTGCAAAATTTAATATCACTGTTATGTCATCAGATTTCGATTTTCAACCTTGAGATGCGGCGGTATAAACCATGTTGAGCAGTACACAGAAACACCAACAATTCTTTAAATAGACTCCTGAGAAAGTGAACTGAAAAATATTACACAACCAACCTACGCTAATGTATATATTTTTATTTGTTAAATAGTTAAAATTAAAATAAATAATATGAAGTGAAGCAGCCGGTGAATAAACAATTGAATCGTCTTCTCTACCACTTATTTATTAATAAAATATTTCCACAGATCATCCGTATACTGGGATAAATTTGATAATATTGAAACTGATGATGAACTTGTACTCGATGCTCCTGTCGTTAATTGTGATGATAAAAATGATTCTGATTTTTTACGATTCTCCAGTCCAGTAACACTATTATCATTATGAAATATAGAGCAATTACTGCCATATTTATTTTGATTCACATCATTATCACGCTGCTGGTGATCGCGAGCAGTGAGTGGAAATGATGTCAGAATTACTGAATCCGATGTTGCTGAATTAGTGTAATTTGATTTTAGAATATTTATTTTCATTAGGTAGTCGTTTAAATGAAGATAGAAGTGATTATCAGATAATGACATAATGAAGAATTACTAGAAAAAAATAAAAATTATAAGTCAGTAAGGAAATTATTATCCAAGGCAATTTCCTTCACTTTATTGCGTTGAACAGTTTTGTCCAGAAGACATCAAAGACTAACTATCCTTATTCTCGTCCTTAGTAGCTATTTTATACTAGCAACTTGTCATCCGTATATTGAGACATGATTTAGGCATTGATTAAGTTAAAATTGAATGATAGATCGATTACTAATGCTATTATCGATTTACTTCATTCTATATGGCAGGCAAATGAAAGGAATTACTTATTACTATGACTGTTGTGGATGTTATGAGCTGGAAGATGAAAAAGTTGAATTATTTTATTGCATTGTTTTTATGAATATTGCTCGCTCAACTGTGATTAGACTGAACTGATTTATATGTGTCTATGAGTGTACGACATTTCTAATTTTATTTCCGTGGTATTTGTTTGTTAATCCTTACCCGACAGAGAACCAGCAAAGAAGCTATTGCCTAAAAATATGGATATGGATCAGACAAACACTGGGTAGACCGCTGAGTGGAATCACGCTACAGGTAGACTATCGAGTGCAACCCTGATGAGAAACGATAAGTTGGGCGTAGATTCGATGGTGAAATACAAGAGAATGTTGTGTGAGGAGGAATTATTATTTATTATTATTATATCCTTTAATTCCTAGAGGAACATAGGGCTTTAGCTGCGCATCTCCACTGCCTTCTGTTTTTTGCCAACGTTCTCACCCCGCTCCAGGTCTTTCCACATGCTTTCATCTCCTCCTCACATAACCTCCTCCAAGTCACCCTTGCACTGACGACCAACTCGCCGCTTTCCTTTCGGGTTCCAGTCGAGCATCGGCTTGTCTAGTGATGTCATTTGATGGTTTCTTCATTTCTTCTTGCCTATTCGTTTCACAATCGGTTCCTGCTGGGTTGGTTCACTCATTGCCAGAGATTTCTGTTGCTGATCTTTTCTGGCTGGCCATCTGATCTTGAGTATTGAGCGAATACAACTGTTAATGAAGGTCTATAGTTTCTTTGAGATGCTCTTTGATCCATATAGTAGCAATGACTGACTTAACATTGGAGTTGAAAATCCGGATCTTATTTTTGATTCTGAGTGCTGTTGACCTCCATACAGACTTAAGTGTAATGAAAGCTTGTCTTGCTTTTCCGATTCTCGCTTTGATATCCTCGTCAGTTCCGTCCTCCTGTAGTTGAAACGATGCTTCCCAGGTAGGCAGGTGGGTAGGTAAAGGAGGTTGTTTCTTTCAGGTTCCTCCCATTTATGCCGGCTGATTGTTGTCTGTTGTTGCTGTTGATGTTGGCTAGGAATCTTCATCACCTCTGTTTTATCTATGTTCACTTGAAGTCCTATCTTCTTTGGATGCTTCTTCTGCCAACTTGTTGCTTTTCACTTGCATATCTTCCAGTTCGTGGGAAATCAGACATATATCATCGGCGAAGTCCAGATCCTCCAAGTTTTTTGTGTGAGTCCATTTTATGCCCGTTCCCTCGTTGGTTGCCGTTGTCTGTCGCATTATCCAATCTACTGCAATCAGGAAGATCATTGGTGATAGTATGCAGCCTTGTCTCACTCCCGTCCCCACTTCGAAGGCTTCCGTAAGTTTCCCGTTGTGGATCACTTGGCATGCAGCAATGTCGTACAACTGTTGGATGAGATGTATAATTGTCGATGGGACCCCGTAGTAGCGAAGTAGTTGCCAAATGACCTCTCGATCGACTCTGCGCTATCGAAGGCCTTTTCAAAGTCGATGAAGTTGAGGTAGAGAGGTGACTGACTGCCATTCCAAGCTTTGTTCAATGATGATCCGTAGAGTGGCGATTTGATCAATACATGACTTGTTTCTCCTGAATCCAGCTTGTTTCGGTCGAAGTTGTTCATCCAGGTTGGCGTGTTTCATTCTCTCCAGGATGATGCCGCTTAGTATTTTGCTTGGGATGGACAGGAGCATAATTCTGCGCCAGTTTTTGCATTGACTTAAGTCTCCTTTCTTTGGCGGTTTGAATAAGTATTCTTTCTTCCAGTCCTCGGGTACTTTGCCCTCTTTCCACACCTTCTCCAGCAATGGCGTCATGAAGTCCGCTGTTGTCTCTGGGTCTATTTTCAAGGCTTCTGCTGGGATTCCATCTGGTACTGCTGCTTTTACAGCAGGAATAATAATAATTTGCTTTATTACAAAACAGTACTTGCGATACAGAATTGAATTCTCAGTATTTTACTACAGTATTGCACACATTTAGAACATTGACAATAAATAAAATTCTACAAAGATTTAGGGTAATCTCAGTTCGTTATGACAACAACATATTAACATCTCGGTAGCAAAGCAAAAATTGAACAGACTGTTTGAAGGTGTTAGAAAAGTAGATGCTAGCATATTTACTGGCGTAAGCAGTAACAAATAGGTCAAGATATACAGAGTGTTAAAGAACGAAGAAGAATGTTTTAAATAGAGTTTGTAAGGAAGAAAGAAACAAAGCAGCACATAACAGAAAAAAGAGAGAGAAAAGGAAAAGAAAGAAGGAAAACGTTGTACCTATAAATGATATGAGTTGGGAGGACGAGATCCAGTTGTTCTACTGACTATTTAATAAGTTACAGGTATCACGCCTAATGCTTTCTTTATCGTACAGAACACGAGCTAAGTAGGGTATGGTTGAGTTCTTGTACTTAATAGTGCGAGCATATAGTTTCCTATATAGGCTTCTGGTTCTGCCTGATGAGATACAAGGGGAGAATTGTGAATTAAAAGGGTGGTGTTAGTTAGATAAAATGGATTTAGCCCATTTTTCACATGAGTCCAAGTGCCTGTCGACCAGGATACTAACAAGCTGGTTAAGTGACACGTTGCTCACCCTACCCTGCTGACAAACTTCAACATCCTGCGTAATACGGTATAGTCTTTCTCCAGTAGCCCGGGAAAAACTAAGGGGGAAAGTAGAGAATAATAGGCAGCATGCAACAGTTAACGAATCGCAGGAGTAAGGGTTGGGTTATTCCAGAATGTAGAAGGGGGAACGGAAAATTTTCTTAGAAGTCATCAAGATATGAGACGACCAGGAAAGATCAACGGATAGAATGACGCCAAGATATTTAATTTCCGACTTGGTTTCTATTTCAGTGCCATATATGTTACACACCTCGTGAGTGCTAACCAGTTTGTTTAGGTCAGATTTATGCCTAAACGTGAAATTGACTGTTTGGCATTTAGATAGATTTAAGGTTAGACCGTTTTCCTTGGACCACTGGCTGATTTCTGATAAAAAGCCGTTTAGTTTAGAGCAGTCACTTTGGCATTTGACAGGCAAAGGTAAAGTCAGGCCGCCAGCATATTTAACAAAATCAATGTCATTTGAAGATGGTGGTAATTCATGTAGAAGGAAAGAAAGAAAAGAGAAGTGGGGAGAGTACAGCACCTTGGGTGACACCAGCTTCAGTGAGCACAGCAGAGGAGGATTTACCTTTCTAAACAGTGTGCTGCATTCTGTTCTGCATTCAATAGGAATGCAACCAGTTTGTGACCCACGACTCAATTTATGTCATCGAGAGCTTATTTTTGCAAGAAACATCTAGGTTCAGAGTCAAAAGCAGAAGTGAAGTCCAGAAATGTGCTGCGAACGTATTTGTCACCTATATCTAATGATGAGACGATACTGTTGTATAAGACGGCTGCAGCGTCTAAAGCGCTCTTGCCCTGTCTATATGCAAACTGTTTGGGGTCTTCAAGACTTCTAAGGGAGGGTTCAAGTTTAAGAAGTACTAGCTTTTCCATAAGCTTTAGAAACGGGGAAGTGATGGCATTGGGTCTGAATTTTACGTTCTTGCTATTGCCAGATTTACAGACAGGGACTATTTTAATGTGTATCCATGCAACAGGTACAATGTTTTTGGAAAAAGAAGCATTTAGGATGTTAGTAAGTGGAGAACATAAAGCATCTTCACATTGTTTTAGAACATAGGCAGGTAAACCATCAGGGCCAAGGATAAGTGAGGGCTTAAGCGTTTTAAGACATTCTAGAACATCAAGAGTATTAAAATAATGAAAGTTATCAGCTACATGATTTGTAACGTTAGAAGTAATTATAGTAGAAGGAGAGCGTATATAAGACTGATTAAAAGCGTTAACATCATAAGAGGGTGTATAAGTATAAAACCTGGGCATAAGAGGGAAAAACATCGCATCGCTTACTATTGCCAGTAATTTCATTGAAAAGTTTCCACATGTTGATAGGAGACTTGCATGATAAAAGTGTATGGTTATAGATTGTATTGAGATTTTTGATTTCGGATTTGATAAGAGCATTAATCTTTTTAAGTACTAACTTATCTTTGAATTTATATAATGTTTCTTTTTGCCTGGGAAGTTGTTTGAGATGAGGAGACGAGATGTGGTCGAGATGTTTGAATAGTGTTTGTCAAATTATCTAATGTGATCATTATTCGGTTGAAAGTCGAGGTTTCTGATACTATTCTGAATCTCAACTAGATGCGTAGATTTTACGTACTTCACGTCCACGCCACATGTCAATGATATTCTGAGGTCACTTTGTGTTGTGCATCACACGGCATGCTCTTTTAATTGTGCCTAATTTCATCGATTAATATATTTGTTTCTCTGTTCGTTGCAACGCTACAATGTCAGTACGGGCGAAATACGCTTATTCAGGAGTAACTTTACGACGGAAGCCATCGATTTGCCATACTAAATTTGGAATTTCCTTGAAAATGCTGCGCATTTCTGCGCTGATACGTTTAGTCTTCTTACAGACTGATAAGCGCCCATTTAGGAATGTTGGTCCTCACAAAAACCTTTATAAATGTCCAATAAATATTTTCAGCTTCAATTTTTGTTTGAGTGTTTCATTTGATAGGTCGGATGTAAAATTAGGACACAGTATTTTACAATGTAGAGCAAGTTTCCGTAGTTATGTAGGAACTTCATTCAGCAACTATATGACAGTACCACTGGCCGCGT